GAGCATCTGTCGAATAACTGGAGAGATGGTGGTCTAATGGGCTGTGGTAGTGTGTGCGCGCGGTTAATTTATCACACTTGAACGAGCGCCTATACTCCACTGGCGGCGACGCCAGTGAAAACACTTTCACAGTAACCTGAGCCCCCATTTCATCCTGCCTTTCGGATGAGTTTTCGCTCCATTATAGTGGCCCGGAGGGAGAAAAACGGTTACAGCGTACCATTTTGCTACATTTTTGACGTCTGCCTGATTACCTCCAATCCAAATATGTGGGCCTCGTGTTGTGGTCGGCTCATTGTTGTTGTGACGGTGGTTGCGGTGGACAGAGTTCAGACGAGGAATGGTCGGAAAGACATGGAGCACTAGGGTAAATAGTATCCGCAGAGGATGATCCAGCCTGCGGCTAAACCAAATCACAAAGATAACCATATTTACTCCCATGTATGAAGCGTTAACCTACCAAACCTGGCGACCTTGGAAACTGTGCTTTCCGGTCTACTGATTTGCATAGAACCAACAGGTGCCTATTGGGTGTCACTAGCGGAAGAGGCTGGTCCGCCAGACGAGCACTGAGTTTTCTGATCGTTGGATAAGCCTCATTGGACCCAAAGCAAGCTTATGCTCGTGTAAGAACCACTACGTAGTTTGCGGTGTGATGATTGTCCTATCTAATACACAACAATGGGTACGGATCAGTGTTCTCATGAGGACTAGAGCTTTGGCTTTATCAGTATCAATCGGGATCAGGCCGACACTCTCTAGCTAGACCGTTCCATGATGAAGCGAGCAGTGGCGTGACAGACAGCTATCCTCTTTGCAACTATCCTCGTATGCTCTACTGATGATGAACGCGGTGTGGGTTATTGTGTCAGACTATGGTGACAGTGTCAGTGCTGTGCATCACCCGATAGGACATTCCTGATACTAGCGATAAGGATTACCATACATGTGACCGGTTATTTTAAACATACGTTTAAAGAGTTATCTAGTTGTGATTCAAGATCGAACTGGTCGCGTTTAACACCGAATCCACAATAAAACGTGAATTCACACTGTGCTCATCGCAAACACTTGGAGTACATAGCTTACTGCAAACGGCAAGTTGCAATTTCACGCATGATTGGAGCCTGACGAATGTGAATTCAACTGCGATTAGAACAAGAAATCTTTGTTCCAGTACACCACAGATATAGCATAGCCCTGAACTAATCATTGATGGTGGCGGTACGTAATTGCTTATGCTGTGGCCTGTTTGGCGCCGGTGGACAGCTGAGAAGAAGGAACCCACGTGCGGATGCGTTTGGTGGCCTTATTTTGTGAGTGGTCATCCCGAGCCACTGACTGCCGGACGGTACACGTGACTCGTGTGTGAATGCAATTGTGTGTAACCAACGAACCATGCAATGGTCTGAGAGGGAACCATCTAGTGGCCTAGTGATTGTTATTTAGCGCCCACCATTGTCTACATCTGAGATGGAATGCAAATTGGTGGCTGCGTTGAGACAGCTGATAAACAGGAAGTACAGTCACATTCTAGTCGTCGGCGATTTCATCTTAAATGCTTCAGAATGCTAGGCTAGCTCAAGAGAACAATGCAAAGCCGACCTGAAAGATCTTGTCTTAGACTTTTGCTTTATGGGCACGTCACTTCGCCAACCAGATTCAGGGGAAATAACAGGCCATCTATGGTTGGCCTATGGATGGACTGAATATTCACTAATTGATTGATAATCGAGACTCATCTAAGACGCAGTGATCATGCTACTTTGCATTTCATGTACGCCTGTTATGCTGAGTATCCCGAGGACAGAACTCAAACGACGTGAAATGTAACCAGTTACGACACCCTAACCCGACTGGTTGAAGCTACCGGCTGAGTATCCTAACCCAGGATGCACCCGATATTGCCTGGGAACGTGTCATCAGTAATTTTAGCACCCTGGTTAATGGGAGATCAGCAACCAAGACTATCAATTCGGGAAACATGACATCGTTTATACGGAGTAGGACACGAAAACGCATGGTGATGCGCAACGCTGCTTGGTATACTCACAAAACCGATCCGAGTCCTAATAGCTGGAAGGCCTATATTATCTACCGTAAGCACTGCACTAAATTAGTGCAGGAGGACAAGTAGCGTATCAACATGCCTTAGCCGAGTGATTAACTTCAAATCCTAAGATTCTGTACAAGCAAATGAACAGCCTCCGCAAGGTGAAAAGTGGATTTCCCCCTCTTCAAACAGGGGATGGTCTAACTCAGACTGCTAAAGAAGCGTTGAATGTTCTGCAACAGCAATATGTACCAAGGTTTCATTGAATCCCGTGGTCTGAATCGTTGGAAACTATGGTGCTTCCACCAGGACTCACTCGTATAGATTTTACGGCAAGCATAGCGATGAGAAAGCTGCTATCTATGCGCCTGCACGCCTGTCCAGGAATGGACGACATTCGCCCAAAGATGCTTGTAGTGGCGGCTACTACTTTGGCTGAAGCTTTGGCTCGGCTGTTCCAGCGTTGCCTTGACGAGAAGCAAATTCTTTCAATGTGGAAACAAGGAATAAGAACTCCCATTTACAAAAGGGGTAGTCCTTCCGACTCGGCTAATTATCGACCGGTGACTACACTGTCAGTTCTTTCAAAAGTTATGAAGGCTATCATTACCAACACCCTCATGTCTTATCTGGACGGCTTTGGTTACATTGCTCAGCAGCAACAAAGTTGCCGCCGGAATCGGTCGTGCACAGCCAATCTATGGTTAGCAAGAGACAGATGGACCGAAACGGTGGATGCTGGTGTAGCAGTTGATGTGGCTTGTTTTGATTTCTCTAAGGCATTCGACTGGTTGAATCACCGTATCCTTCTCGCCAAACTTCAACGAAGTGGCATTGGAGACCCTCTCCTCGGGTGGATCTGCAATTTTTTCTCGCACAGGCGTCTGGAGGTAAGAGTACGTGAATCCAGATCAGACCCAATTCACGTGGCATGCGGAGTGCCACAGGGTTCGGTACTGAGACCCCGTCTATTATTGGTCTTCATAAACGATCTAGTGAGTCGAATTGAGTCAAACTGTTTACTCTACGCCGATGAAATCAAAATCTGGGGAGTGATTAGAGCACCAGATGACCGTATCCACCTACAAATCGATCTTGACAAAATTTATAGATTGTCGGTGCAAAATCGCCTTCTCTTCAACGTGCCTAAATGTCCAGTGCTCCATTCACGACACCGATTGGTTCACACATATAAGCTGGGGGACCAGGAGCTGCAACTCTATTCTCTCGAAAAGGATCTTGGTGTACTGATCCAGGAGGATTTCGGCTGCTCGGAGAAGTCCAAAAAGGCATCGAAGAAGGGGATCCAAATAGTGGGGCTTTTACGGAGAGCTTTCGGGCAATTCAAACCGTCGATTTTCCGCCAAATACTTCTGGCTTATATGCGCCCTCATGTTGAACGTGCAATTCAAGCATGGCACCCATGGCTAAAGCAGGATCTCACAATCTTGGAGATTCCACAACGTCGGGCGACCAAAAATGTCAAGGGGCTGCTCCTCTTGTCATACGAACAGTGCCTCAGCGTGCATGGCATTTTCAACGGACATTATCGACGTTTGCGTGGAGACCTAATCATGTTGTACAAAATATTAAATTACACTAACCACCCGTGCCATCACCTATTGAAGTCGAGTCACAACAACCAACTGAGAGGTTATCATCACAAATGCGCAGAACAAATACAGCCGGTTGGATTGTCGAAGAAACTTTTTCTCGCTGTGTGTTTTCCACACTTGGTATACCATCTCAGAAGCTGTTATTTCAGTCCCCAAGTTAGCCGTGTTCCAAGCATATGTCCACACTGCACTGACCACATTACACTATATGACGTACTCTAAACGACCCATAAAAACAGCAGGAAAACAAAAACAAATCAACCCACCTCCATTTTTCGCCTGGAAACCACAGACGATAACCTTGGCTAGTACATAAGACTAAGCGTGAACTGCTAAGACGGGAACGCTGTAGTCGGTAAGTTCGCAATTTGCGGTTGTTCCCTAGTTTCTATTGCTATTTTTGCTTTTATTTTGCTCACCCCTAACCGATCATCCAGCGGTACATGTCAAGCTTCGGCTTTTTTCTCCGCAATATACCATTGACCATTGAAATTACGGATGTGTACTTTTTCGCGTGGTGTTCTCACTTACAATACTTTAATTTACCGTTTTGCCATCTGCGTCATAAAATAGACGATGCCAAAGTAGGCCGAAATTGAAAGGCCATCGAAAGATGAATTCACAATGCGATGGTCTCAAGTACTAGGCACTCAAGCAATCCAATGGGCGGTGATAAGCGTTTGGAACATAGTGTTTAGTGCACATATGTTACGGCGAAGTTAATTCCAGTGCAGCTTCTTCTCCAATGCCCACTGCTACCGTTTTGTTGACGTCTAGGACATTTAAGTCGACAGGTCTAGCATTCGATTCCAATTTGTGACTTCGCAACTGTCATGACAACCTCTTGGTTAGGATCCGCAGTTGGGAATTGAGTTTATATGTAGTTAAGCTTCGGTTATTACCCTCTACTTTGGTTTTTATGCGATATAACCTCTCAAACGAAGGCCGATCATAGTATTGTAGTCTTATAATCTCCAAGCAGCAGCCACTTATACTTAGCCTTCGTGTTACATTGTTGGACTCATTTTGCTTATGGCTTCCCACCATTACCGTGCACCACTGAGACAATCTTGCCAACTATTACTTGCTCGTCACTAAACACTGGTACCACATGATACCACATGGACATCCAGCTCAACTTCGCTTATTAAGCTCTCTGTCTCCAAATTAAATCACAACTGGATGGCATGCATCATGAACTGCAAAATATATAAAGTACTCGAGTTCCATGTTGCCGAAATGGTGCTACATCATAGTATGCTGCCTTTAGATCGTGGCTCTGCTCAGCTTGTATTCGATTACTGGGTATACACTCACTTTACTCTCCATAGACTTGTCTACTAATAACCGATCCCAGCCGACGATTGGACAACGTAACGGTCCCGAGGACGACGTTAGCGAGAAACAGCGGAGTTCGCACTTGCATTCGGTTGTGTCAACTTCGTCACCGTTACATCCCCAACGGTCCAACGTGCCCCAACCTACACTTTGTTCAGTGGAACCGTATGCCATGCTCAGTAATCGATCCTGCTCGCAACAGCAACCACCGTTTCGCCATTTCTTCGGGGAGGACAACGACAGATCCACCCGAATTGCTCAGGCGCATACGGCAGCCAACATGGTCAACCGAGATGGCTTCTCAACGCACAGGTAAGTAAGCGAATTGCAAAGTAGATTTCCTCTGTATACGTTCATTAATGCACCAACACTGGAGGTCTGAGCTGGTTAGAGTGCGCATGACCCAATATTTTAAGCAACGAAAGTGGAACAATGGAACAATGGATTTATGCGGGTATAAAAGCTAAAGCTTGACAAATCCCGTAGGGTGATCAGTGCGAAAATCATAAAGTGTGAAAAATTCAATGGAAACCAATTCAGTAAAATCATTTAACAACGAGTCACTACAAGCTTGTGGACTCACCGAGTTTGAAGTGTCAAAAGAATAATCCACTATAACTCCGGAGGTGATCATGAGGTATGGAGTATTTGGTTAAAAGAGTCACCGCCCCTTGAAATTCGCATGGGGCAAAGTGTTTGAGTTTGAAGCGTCAAAATATAAGTCCACTGTTGAAATTTGCGTGGGGGAAAATTATTTTTAAAGTATGGATTTTGGATCTCTCAAAATTAGACTGTACTATGGGAGGTAGTGCAATGAAGTGAGTGCACTATCAACTCGATTTTTGAACTCGATCAGGTTGGGTGCACTGACTACCGATTCTGGGAGAGCATTCCAGGCTTAGCAAACACGCACGGAAAAGAAATTCCGTCGACATTCCAAACGGCTGTATTACACTGCCAGCTTCAGATGATGGCCTCTCAGATTGTTGTTGTTACTGAGCTCCAGCAGATGGCGGCAGGTATGATTGGGGTCTGTCAGAATCTGATAAGCCAAAATCAAATCTCCCCGTAGTCGTCGATATTGACCACTAAATATCCCGAGCAATCTCAGTCTGTCTTCGTAACGTAACTGGCCTAAACCTTTCACGTTCTTCTTTGCGCGTCGTTGAGGCTTCTCTAAATCAGAGAGGTCTTTCCTCAGCCACGGCTGCCAGACTTGTATTGCATACTCCACGTGTGGTCGTATGTATGCACCTAGAAGTTGGTGAAAAACGGATGTACCGAAGCGTCCAAATGTGCGCCGGAGAAGGCCCAAATTTCGAATGTTCGCGTTCGATGCTTACTTTGCCTGGGCTGAACAACCAAGGTCGGACTGAATCAAGACTCCTAAATCCTTTTCCTCAGCAGTTGTGTGAAGCACATGGTCACCCAGTTTATAGGAAAATGCTGATTGGTGACGTAAGTGTAATACTCTGCACTTTTCTGTGTTGAGTGGGAGTTGGTTCTGAACTGACCACGCATACACCTTATCCAGATCCTCTTGAAGTATTGTGGAGTCCACTGGTGTATTGATCGCTCTCCAGACCTTGATGTCGTCGGCATAGAGTAGGCAGTTGGAAAGAATGAGGGCCGCTATGTCGTCAATATACATCAAAAACAATCATGGCCCCAGTACCGATCCTTGTGGTACACCACATTCGACTTGGATTGAGTGGAACAGGGACCCACGCACTTTTACCTCTAAGCTCCGGGGGAGAAGAAAGCTTGTGATCCATCCTAGGAGCGGATCACCAATGCCTAAGCTATGAAGTTTGCAGATCAGGATTCCATGGTCTAGTCGATCGAAGGCATTTGAGTGGTTCGTTGAAAGCGTTCATGGTACCTTCCTTAATCACCATTTGCCAAATAGAAGTCATAACTGGTGCGCTTGCGTATATGGTTGGCGGCATCCGGTTTCGGATTTGCCTGTCACTGTCGCCAGCCACAGGACGCCTGCTCCTACAGAGGTAACATGGGTGGCTTGCGTTGCACCACCCACAGCTCCAACCACACACCCCATTTCCAGTGTAAACCCGAAGGAATAAGACCGGGAGGCATGTAGATGGAAGCCACGTTTCATCAACGGAGCCGGCCCACACTCCTTCACAGGTCAACACAATCACGTTGTATTTGGGGAATCAATCGCACACAAGGCGGTGGTTGGACCGTAGTCCGCTCCACACTGAGTGCATGGAACCACTCTTTGATCCTAACACGGCCACAAGGATCGTGCGCTCCGTCCCCTCCAGCAACGACCAACTGTCTCCTAATGCCAGTATGGACGAGGTAGTGGGTAACAGACAGGTAGGCACTTTGTCAACATGCACATCAAGCGCAGCCACACCGGGGATATCAAGCAACAGCCAATCACTTGAGAGAAAGCTAACAAAGAAAATAAATCGAGTAATGCATAAGGAAACGGTGACATAAATCTTAAATTAATGAGCATATGAAATAAGTTGTTTACGGACGAATCCGAGATAAGTTCACGAGGTCAGAAAGTATATTTTACGGAAATGACACAAACACGAAAATGTTATCGAAATTAACTGCAATTGGCTAAATCGACGTGTGCAAGTTTATAGAACAGAGTACCGGTAGACATTTATATGAGAAAGATAAGCATCAGGACAAAATTGAAAACCTACCACCTGAAATAAATAGACTTAGCATGCAAGCACGCGGTTAGTAAATTGAATGCAGTGTACCTACAAACGTTGCGCCGGTTCTGCCTACGTTCTCTGCAGGACCCGTCGTCGCTTCGGTAGTGGTCTCGAGTGGCCTCGCTCATGGCTCACTTGGCCTGCCTGACTCAGGCACTCGCGACCGCATGTGCTACGGAACCATGCACTCGATGTCGATGGAGTACAATCCATCGGTGCTTGCCGCTTCCGTACTTGCCGCTTCTTCTCTGCATGTATAAGGTATTTCTGCCGTACTTCGGCAACTGCCTTCATGATTAGATCGCGCCATGCACGCCGATCAACCGCTTACAAATCCCATGACCTGCAATCAAGATTAGAACGTGTGAGGCTCACTTTAATCATGTCCTGGTAACGTACCTTTGGTCTCCCGACATGCCGCTTCTCAATACTCATCTGACCGTATAAGAGTTGTTTCGATATCCGCGTCGAATCCATGCGGCCCACATGACCTAGCCACCACAGATGTCTCAGTAAAAGTATGCAGTCCACTGTATACATCCCACTTCGGCGCAACACTTCCGTGTCAGCAACTCTGTCTCCCCAAGTGATGCGCAAAATTCGCCGAAAACACTGCTGATGGAACCGCTCGAGATATCGCACACCCCGCCGGTACATTGTCCACGTCTCACTGCTGTATGGAAGAACGGACAGTACCATGAATTTGTACACCAACAGCTTCGTGCCAATGGTAAGCTTATAGTTGTTTCACACTCGGCACTCAAGCTTCCTGAATGCCGCCACTGCCTTCGACACGCGAATATGCACCTCAGTGTGTAGCTGTTGATTAGTTGACATCACACTCCTAAGGTAGCAGAAGCGGGATGTGGTTTCTAGTACTTCAGCACCAATGCTGTTTCGCGGCAATATTGGTCATTGCACCTCTGGTGAAGGCTGAAAGAGACAGACAGTTTTGCTTGTGTTGATGGTGAGCCCGAATTTTGCCGCTGTCGAAGCTAGAGCACTAGTCATTTGCTGCAACTCATCCGCGCTGTGTGCAAACAACGCACAGTTGTCAGCAAACAGCAACATATGCGTAGTTGTCTTACAGACTAGAGTTCTCGCACCGAAACGACGGATGTTCAGCAACCCACCATCAATGCGGTGCTCCACACGAACGCTGTAAGCACAAGCAGCACCAAAGGCACAAGGCGTCATGGCATGAAGATAGATATTAAACAGGGCAGGGGCTAAGACACAGCCTTGCTTCACACCACTGACAACTGCAAAGTCATCAGAGGTCTCTCCACTCAGCTGCACCCTCGCTCGCATACCACTGTGCAGACATCCAGTTAAACTTACAAACTTACGCGGGCAACCAAACTTACCCAACACCAGCCACAATGCCTCGCGGTTCACCGTATTAAATGCCTTGGTGAAATCAACAAAAAGCGAGTACAATGGCTGGTGTCGTTCTCTGCACTTCTCTTGCAACTGACGAGCCGCAAACACCATATCTATAGTGCTGCGACCCGAGCGGAATCCACACTGTTCTTCCGCCACGTTCGGTTCCACAACCTGACTGACGAGGCGGTTGAGCAGGATTCGGACAATCACCTTGCCCACACAACTCAGCAAGTTGATGCCACGATAATTCGTGCAGCACTATTTGCTCTCTTTGCCATTGTACAGTGGTAGCACAAGGGCATCCTACAACTCTGAAGGCACCTCCTCCTAAATCCACACGCGTTGCACCAAGTGGTGCAGCGCAGTCAACAACGCGGGTCCGCCGTGTTTCAATACTTCAGGCGGGATCCCGTCGGCCCCGGCACACTTGCCGTTTCGCATCTGAGCAAGTGCTCTCTGCGTCTCATCCAGTGTCGTTGTGTCTGCTAGACTCGTCTTCACATCGTGCTGCTTGAGGCCGTTCAATGTAGGCCAATCAAGCTATGAACGGTTGTCCAAGAGACAGTCAAAGTGTTTTCGCCGGATCTGCATTATGCCTGTAGTCTGTGTGCAGTTAGGGTCTGAACTACCATCGATCAGCGTCCTCAGCGGCTCCAATCTTGGTCCATTCACCGCCTTCAAGGAATCAAAGAATTCCTTGTGTTGACGGCGTTCGGCGTAGCATTCCATCTGCTTCGCCTTCTCCGTCCACCATGCATTTTTAATGCGACGGAGTTCTCGGGTCAGTCGCCGTCGAAGTTTGCGAAACTGACTCTTCTTCCCCAAGTCACTGGAATCTGCCATATGTGCAACAAATGCTGCATTCTTTCCCGACACCAATGCGCCAATCGTCGCATCGTTGTCATCAAACCAATCAGGCTGCTTAAAGTTTGCGCGCCCAATGGTCTCCTCGGCAGCGGCTGTCACCTAGTCGCGAATGTGGTGCCACAGGTCGCCCACTGTGGCTATGCAGTCCACCTCACACAGGCGTGCAGCCATCGCGTTTTCCAGCTCAATACGTTTCGCCAGAGTACCGAGGGGGAGAATGTTAAATTTACGCCGATTCACGGCGGGAGTGCAATACATAGATTTACGAAAATATATGTACAGTTTGGTCCGAACCAATTTGTGATCAGTGCCACACTCAGCTCCACGCAGTACACGTGTCATGCGCACTTCACACATATCACGCTGACGTACTATGACATAGTCGACCAGGTGAGGGTGACCACTCCGTGGGTGCGTCCAAGTTGCTATATCACTCGCACTCAGTGCAAACCGAGTGTTCGTGATCGTCAGGCCGTGAGTGGCCCATAGTGAGAGCAGCCTGTCACCGTTCGCATTCGCTGAACCAATTCCAGAAGGACGGATGACATTTGTTCACATCGATGCACCACGCCCAACGCGCGCGTTGAAATCACCCAGCAGAAATAGTCGGTCGCTGCTCGGAGGATAGCTCTGTAAAATCGAGCATGCATGTCATCTGGAGAACATATGGTCGGACCGTACGTGCTTATAAAAGTGGCAAACCTACCTCTTCCGAATTGTAGACGAACAGTCATCAGTCGCGCGCTGATGTCTATTGGTTCACCCACCAGCTGGCCATGGAGGCGATCTGATATTGCAGATCCGACCCCATGTTCATGTGGTGCTGAGGCGGCGTTGCCCACAGAGTTGAATGTGTAGCCAGTACCTGCTTCATGCAACTTACCTTGTTCAACGAGCCGGGTTTCACTGTGCGCCGCAATATCGATGTGGTAACGCACCAGCTCCATCACGACCGGTGCAGTGCGTCGCTTGCATATACCTACTATAATAAACTACTGCTTAGGAGCACCACTGGGTGATACTTCCTGGGGAAACGGAGGTTTCATTTCTATGCTCATGTCCAGCTTCACAGAGAGTATTTTAGGCCATAAAACAATTGATATTTAGTTATGTCAGTCGCAACTGAGAATTGTGTTCCATCCACTAAAAGTTTATGTCGTACATAGACGCTGTTAGAAGAAGCTGTGGTTCTGGAGTCTGGCCTCGTCCTCTGACAAATTCGAGACTTGAGTGGTAGGGGAGAATTACTCGCACTGACGCAAGTAACTCATCAGATACAACGGCAGCCGCTGTCACCAATGACCTAGTAGCTTGAGCCGTTGCCGTGTAGTGGTTATGGGTTCGGTTCCTGAAAGATCCGGGTGGTATAAACAACTGACGGGCTTCAGTAGGTTGAAACGGCTGTCTAGTGCTCTTCCGGATGCGTAGGAGCCTGTCCGGTTAGGAGTTAACTGTGACCAACAACCTATCCGGTGTAAGAATTGCCGTCTCGCTTGAGTACGAATTTTCGCCTTCATTTTTCACCTTGACAATTGATCTCAGTGTTGTCGCAAGATAGAACCTGATTTGAGCGAATTGTTCGGAAATAGCTTTCCTTATGGGACTAACAGAGACTTTTCTACTTTCAGGTTTACCCATCCAGTACCCAGTGGGCCGGTCCGTAATATTTCTATGAACAATCAAGCGATCAATCACATCAGTGAACCGGACCACGTCGGGCCAAACCTATCTGGTGCTTGCCAAAGTCGAGTAGGGAATAGCCAATCGGGAAGCAACCCATTCGCATCAACTCTGACCTTGAAAGCAGACGGTCACAGCCACGGGAGCGCCTCAGATTGGGATTCGGTAAAATGCCAATTGGAAACGAAGGAGTTGTGGGAGAAATTCAACGAATTGGGTACGGAGATGATTATCACAAAATCGGGTCGGTGAGTTTTTCTCCTTATTGCATGTCTACATATGCTGTGCTCAGTCGGAAATCATTTGAATATTCCAACAAGCCTTTGACGTCTGGCTGATTTCTTGGGTAGCCTAACAATCGTCCTCAGTTACAGCTTACTGTTTAGTTCTGTTTCCTAACAAGTTTTATGTCAAGTTGACATAATAATGGTATCAGAAAATTGTAGTACCAAACAGATCCACTTTCGATGCGGTAATAGTCCGTAACAAATCACCGTTTTCCACCTATCTGTCGCAGTCGCATGTTTCCAGTCATCCGCGTTTCATTCACTGGACTACAACCGGATGCTAAATACTCCGTTCTCATGGATATCGTTCCTGTAGACGCGAAGCGATATCGGTATGCGTACCACCGATCCAGTTGGCTGATGGCAGGCAAGGCAGATCCGGAGACACATCTGCGTCACTACGCACATCCGGATTCCCCGTTCACTGGGGACCAACTGGCCAACCAGACGGTTTCATTTGAGAAACTGAAGTTGACCAACAATGTACTGGATAGACATGGCTACGTAAGTGGAACTAAATCGATGCTGTACCTGGCTGCTCTTTTAAAGTAATATGCTTCATGCGACGTAGTCAGGACTAGCCATTTTCACTTATCGCTACTAATGTTAACTATGCTGGACACAATGAAAAACGCGGCTTCGATACTGAACAATCATGTTATAACTGTCAGCCCTCTCAGGGTGTTAGTAACATCCATAACCCCAAAAATGCAAAAGTGCGTAATCTTACGTGTGCTATGCATTAAGAAGAGAATGATTCAACTGTCCAACAGGTTGACACTGGGAAGAGAGATTTGACGGAACACTAGTGGTTTGTCAAGTAGTTGACAGCGCAATTAATGTGAGAAACCTACAACTGTATGCGCTTCTTTCTCGTACGGACACCAGACGTTTTATATGTCTACTTGTGCATGCAACGGAGTTATCAGTACCGAGGTGGGCTTTCGTTAGTCTTCAATGCGTTTTTGTTACTCTGTTATGGTTACCTATACAATGTCTCCGGGTTTGTTACGCGGGAACCTAGTTCGCCTTATGCGTCTGTTGGTAAATTGATTAAGCGAGTGATCTCGTCATTACATCTACAGGGATGTAACCACGGGGTGATCAACAATCAATGATACAGTGTTGATCAGAAGTGTAAAATCTTATAGCTATACCTGGGAGCATGACTGCGGAATTGCAAAATGAAACTTATCCAGCACTATGAATTTGTCGATCAACGCTAGTCGTTGCTGTTGTTAGTCGGGTAGAACGTTTCGAAACATTTTGAAGATCATGCAGTGATTTCTTTGTGTAGCCGAATGCCACCTAGCCACCGTCCCCTTTAAGCTGGAACAATTTGAGAGTAGTTTTTGGCCGATCAGTACTCATCCCGCACAGGTTGCGTGTGTAAACATAGTCGCATGCCACGCTACTAATGATATGTTAACAGTTATTGGGCCTCGTTGCGAAACTTGGAATGTCTTCAAGTGAATTCAGCTACCCGTGCGCGCTAGTTAACTTAAGAATAATCGTGATTCACACCATAATTTAATAGGGCCTCATTCCATGCAGAACTAAATATGACTTGAAATTGGGCACCTCTACACTCAGTCGGAGAGCCAACACATGTCCTGAAAGTCACTGCACGTGCGTTTCATTAATTCGGGGATCGTCGGCTGCTCGCATTCCATCTATTCTCCGTGGAACTAGAGCCAGCATCCCTACTGCTTTTGGGCTGTAGAGGACAGCGACGAACGACCTGGTCAAATTACTAGATATGGTATAACGCGACTCACTCAACACATATCATACAAGTTGCCTTATTACTCATATGGGATTGAGTTAATGACAAGATGAGTGGGCAAGGAAGTGAATGGTGCAGAACAGGCTACTTTTCGACTCAGAGTTCTTCCTATCCGGACCGGGGAGTTTCGATTGGAAAGAAATTAGCCCCGAAAACTGAAACCCGTAGGGTGGTGTTATGTGCTCCTTCTTGTACACAGCATTCTAACCATACATTCGAGCGCGTGGCGAAATCAATGGTGGTGATAAATCGGCGTTTTTCAATGTATACCTAAAGCAGTTCCGCTGCCTACCCCCGTTGCGCAGATCATCTTGAACTCAATGCATAAATACCAACCCCGAGTGCACCTCGTCAGACTCCGTGACTCGGAAACAGGCGGAAACTTGGCTAATACAACCATGGAGCAGTTCACATCGGAGGACTTGAAGACTTTCGAATTTCCCGAGACTGTTTTCATTGCAGTGACGGCTTATCAAAACCAACTGGTGAGTTTCACAGTTGATGCAATGCTTTCACTACAGCCAGTATTTGTCTATCAAACTTGGTTTAATTGTCATGTTCACAGTTCGTATGTAGATTTCAGGCTGCAGCGACTCACGACAGTTTATCAGTGGAATTATCTAGTTAGTTTAGTTTCTCAATATCTAACATCACTGCATGTGGAACCGAAGTAGCGTAAAGCAACACTGTTTGACTCTGTACGACTGAGGCTTGGAACGATCCACTGGGCTTCCGTCTCGCGAATCCGTTTCATAAAGTGCGATATTCCCTGATGGTACAATTAACCAGTAAAATTATTAAGCATATGACGACAGTCACATGAAATGCTTGGTGCTGGTGCATTAAGTTCACGCGTTTCCTTTGCTTCTTGCCTACTCTCATTGAAATTGTCGTTTTGTTTTACTTACGCTGTCTTCCTGCGTGATACTTTTAAATTAGTACCTCATCGCTGAGGAAAATGTGGCTTCTCAGCAACTTCATTGTGACATCTTTATTTTCCTGTTTGGACAAGGAACAGTGCACGGGACTTAGAAATTACCATGGACACGATCAGAAACGGTAGGGTTCACTGCTCGGTTACGAACGGCAGTTTCCCTAGAAAATGTCTATCATGACGTGGTTGCTAGGACGGTCGATCTCCCTGCAGCTGTAAGGATTTCATTTAAGCACGCTGCAGCCGCGCTTTATTTGAAACGTAGCACTATGTATAGTGCTTTGCCGCAACTGCTACAACCGGCACTAAGTTGGGTATTCCCTGAAAGTTCCTTCAACCAAAACCATAGGGGTACTCATTGCCGAGTAGTATATTCTGCATGAACACCGATTTAATATCCAATGAGCATCCCAAGCAAATTCTCTTTGTTATCGAGATAAAAAAGAGAATCAACTTACGCTTACAAAACAGGAGAATCAGAATATGAAAGTTTGCATTCTGATCGCCTCACGTATGCTTCCTCTAAACCTGCCCGTGGTAGAGCCCTCTGCTCTTCTAGTTACAAAGACATTATGATATCATAAACGAGTATCTGTTCCATGTTCACAAGTAAGCTGTAGTTCTGGGTGCGTTCAGTTACATCGGTCGGCAGCATCATCCAGCCGAATATGCTGGTCTACCACAACAATCATATCTTCCATGTAGTGATGATAGCTTTCAAAATTGGTCATCTCCACCTCTAGTCAGGTTAACTCCAATGTTGGTATGATGGCATCGACGAAGGACGCAACGTGATAAAGATACAATGAACAGGCTGGACGTCTGCCTGGAGCATTTAACATTAAACAGGAAATGCACACACACATTCACATCTATAGCGCAACGGTACACTCTTCGGCTCACGCACCTGTATAAAGCTTGTCATTTCTAATCTTGTTATGTATAATTGCAAGCACGATCGATTTCCTTAATTACCGGAACTATGGTTAAACCTGAGACGATATCGTGGGATCGTATTAATTGATTTCTACTTTTAGCATGCTTGGATGGTCAGCGGAATGAAAGCTGTCAGATGGTATGTAGTGTGCAAGCTCCGGCCTAATCGGCTCAAAAATTTCCATGCTGCTAGGTGGGCAACCGCCTGTTAGGTTGAGTTAACCATTGATGGAATTAGACGGAGAGGGATGTTGATTTCACTGACATTAAAATTGGAAGCCGTGGTGCTATTGTTAAGCAAATGTGAACACGGCGTCATTTCATTGAACATTGTAGATTACCAAACTGAAGATCGATTGCAACCCATTTGCCAAGGGCTTTCGCGATTCGTCCCGGTTGACGGAATTCGAACGGTGAGTCCGCGTGTGGTTGTTTTACTTCATAGGATTCGTAATGTGAATAGATCATAATAGCTGCGTTAGACTTTCATCCGGCCTGATGCAACACGACGTTGCGCAACGCTGTATATTCACGCAATTACTATATAGGAATAACAGGGGAACATAGGTCCGAGGGAGAGACAGGAGTCAACTTAGTTGTTGAATCCAACCAAGTCAAAATAGATTGAGCCACACATAGTAAAGCAGAAATCATTCTGGCTTAATGCTACTTGTCGAGATTGTTTCATCCTACGCCAATGAAGATTTGAAGGGTGATTTGCCATAACACGATCAACAAATGTTGAATAATGTTTTCCGCTATAAACAAAAGTGACTCGTTTTAAACAGAGTACCAATAAATATATCATACCGATAAACTCTATCTCCGGTGAGATACATAGGGACCGTTTGCATAATAGATAAACAGTAGCACAGTATGAGCTTTGGGAAATAAAGCAATCTTCCGTTACCATGCTTCAAGGATATAATCGTGAAGATGTAGGAGTATTGCTACCTTAGGTATTTCGTGTAGGCCAGACGAGACAAGTAAAACTCCCCAACTTTGGATGCTAGCTAGAGTGACGAATGAGTAAGCATGCTAATTCCACCTCCTTGACTCGTAATCAACTATTCGTTTGGAGCGCCGATTGCCAAAAATCATGTCGTGTGTGCTCGATAAGGCATCAGCTCAAGTCTGAAGGTCTTAGGAAGACATAGCTTACGCCGTGGAAACTAGTCGTTGGCTATTATGTTGTCTAACCACATGACAACTTCCAGCAAGCTAGTGGTTAACCGTGGACCCGACTAATAGAAGCTGTGATTGACATTTCTTGGTGGATTTACCACGAACATATTTGCATACTGTTTGCCTTAGTGACAATCAGTTCGATCACAGACGGGATATGCCCAAATGAACAAGTGGGCGGCGATTACCCAAGCCACCGATGCAAGTCTACATGACCAGGTCACCGTAAGAGATACGCTAATAAGCAAACCCAAGGAATACACACCACGACAACCAGAGATATCAGCGAAAGACGGTAGACCAAAAGAAACCATGAAATCAAGGAATATCACGTTGTGAAATGAACAGCAATGAAGCAGTCTTGATTAACCGAATTAAACTGAATTCCGCTAAGATGGCAGGTATGGCCCTTTGTTGGCCGCTTCGGGTAGATGCGGACAGTCATTCCACTCACTAGAAATGTGCTGGAAGCATAGAGGTTTAAGTGCTCCTGACTACCATCACTGCCTCCCACGACTGTTTTTGTCCTCGTTCGGACTCATCAGGTAGAGAGAGCTTGGGATGGGAGTGGAATACCAGGCCTAACAGCAGGAGCCTTGATTGCTAGGCCACAAGCATTCGTGAGGAACGACTGGCATATCGACTAGGTGTTGACTGCTAGATTTTACTTTTCCCCCTCTGTATGGATGGTGACAAGCAGTCATAACTAAGACCAGATCTAACTTTGAAGTCGACCTCATGCTGACCACTCGGATCGTATCCAAAGTGGAGAGTTCTCGGTGTTGTTCTCTTCCAAATGATTTTGTGTACAGAGTAGTCGTAGGGAAATTTTAATGGCATACGTTGAAGTTCTTCATTTGACACAGTAAGGGAGACATCACACGCTCGGGAAAGCATTGCACGGCCGTTTCATCTTGTTAGGAATTGTCAGATGCGCGCATTTCATCTCGACCTTATGGTGCTATAACGCAACAGCATTGTCACCTATTCGTAGTGAAGACCAGTGGGATACGGGGGACGGTAACTACGTGCGTGAGTAAGTTACTAGGCGTGATATAGCGCCACTCACTATCTACCGACTGCGAGAATTGAGTGAAAAATTTCACCTGGCTTCAAAATGTGCGATGCAACTGTTGCATATTTATGCGTGCAGCGCACACGCCTTCGAGTTGGTCGGCACATGAATTGCAACACTGGTCGTATGGCGTTGCCCTCGACGTGCTTGTGAATTCTCACGAATGACCATTTCGGCTAACTGGTTTGCAACATTCCCGCCTGTGTTCGGTAAATTACGTGCGCGTTTTCATATGAGTTGACTTACACCTCCGTCACCTTGGGCTGAAAATGGATACAGCAGTCGGGAAATCACATGGGAATAGTCGTCAAACACATTCCTCTGTCCTGTTGAACATATACGGACAGTTTTGAAGTTTGTGTCCAGTACACTCATTCAACAACAACTAGTCGAGGAGGTGTAGCAGATGGAGAGAATAGTTACGATTATTAATTGAACCAAGGCCCACTGTTTTTGCGCATATGAGACGACAAGAATCAGTCGCACATTTGCGTGGGCTTCTGCCTGTTTGTGCTCAATCAGCTAAAATGCAGAGCGTCGAAACAGCTGTTGAACGAAAAAGTGACCAGCTTCCACCCACATGTGTGCATTTAAAGCAGCTCAGGTTTTCCAACCCACGAAAGCTTAAATAAGGTGCACCGTGGTGGATGGAAATCAGAGATAGGGTGTCCAACTTTGACTGAAAAAATCTGTGCAACTTGATAGAACCTCAAAAGGCATGTGAACCATTGCTTTTCCATCAGATCATCGGTGTGATGACGAATAGGATGATGGACGTTTTTGTAAAATTTGACCTGCACACATTTGCGAGAAGCGTTACAACGGTCTGTGTCCATAGATCACAGAAGCAAGGAGCACGACCGCTAATATGGTAAATTTAAACACCATAACTCTGCAGCTAACATTGTGAATGCGCCATTGTCAAGGTTCCCATGAATACGATAAACAGGATTGTAATGAGGCTGTACGCAGTGTCTGAGTGTTCCAGTTTAGTCCACTGCTTTTTGAAGCAGATGAGGCGACTGTGCTCAGGCTCAAGATCGAAGGGTTTTCTGTAACGTGAAAGGCAAGGCTAAACACAGCAGAGGTTGATACTTGATGTCGATGGCGCATTCAGGTGGTGAAATCAAACGTCATAGGTGGGTCAATTACAGTGCAACCGGTACTACTCCTAAGCAACTCGTTGGTTCTTTCAGCCAACATCAAGCGATTTCATGGGAAATATAAACGGACGGTGTCGCTAAACGTGATCTGGATCCACAATCATGTCTTCAATCTTTATCTTCCTTTTAGAGTCAAGGAAATGAAGTTAACAAAGCAGTGAGACAAAGAGTTTAACTAAGTAAGAACCGCAGCAATAAATTTTAAAGGGTTCAAAGGAAAGGACTACCTATCAGAGCACGAATATCTTCATGTGGTCATTATCGTGGCCGAGATCGAGGCCCTTTTCCAGACAGACTAAGCACGTCAGTTCGACTCACTTCATTTAACAAATCGCTTGTGACACGCATCAACTAGTTACTACGTGGTCTCACTCAACCAAGTGCAGTATAGCCACCGGTTCGCGTTGTTGTAATGGGCGTTCCGAATTCAGGTTAACGGAAAGACGAAAGTAAAACATTCTACTGCGGCGCGCCAAAAGAACATCAGTCACCAACCGCCAGACACCAGCAATACAAATTTGGTATTTCATCATGTGTGAGCTCTGTCGGTTATGGTCAAGCATCTTCGTAATGCCATCGTTACACAGTGGCCATATATGCGTCTTTACGGTGACATTGACCGAAACTCAACCTTCGGTAATCTGTCGACAACCAGCTGCCTGATAAGGGATTAAGATCGGCTGCAAGGTTCGGCAGAAAGTGACTCGTTCCCCATTACTATGCGCGTTATCGACTTGCAGAGGAATGGACTGCCTCACAAAACTACAAATTCCACCTAAGCTACTGACAATCTCGGTGGTACGTAGAGTGTTCGACAGTGCTAGTTACTAAAAATGATACTAGGAATGATACAGCCAAAGAGGAGGTTCGTCCCAACCAGCTGCGACGATTTGCTATCGATGGAACGGTAGCATAAACCACCAACTTCCCAGCTCACTGATGGTGGTTCCGATTTCCAGTGGAGGTATAACAGTGCTCGTTGCTGATCAGCTTCAGTCCAGCAAAACGGCCACCCAGTGGTTTTTACTGGATGTGTGGAGATATGCGACTGTATGGTTACTAAGACAAATCTCTCATAAAATTTTCCATGACAACAATTCCAGTGTATCCGCAACACCGTCCTTCACAGCCGATTTCATATGTACTAGAACAACGAATGTTTCAGGATATTCTTTCCAATAAGCCACTGACCACGGGAACAGGCGCTCCGTGCCGCGAGTCGTTGACTAAGAAGCAGAGGCTTCGGCTAACGTTCGGGGTTTGAGTCATATTATCGCCATATACTTGAGGAGTGCAGGCAGGTTTGAAATGGTTCGTGGAGTGCAAAATTACGAGTGTGCAACACCTTGGACTTAGCAAACCCGTCTATCAGTTTCCGCATCCATGTCACCTTAATTGGCGGGGCACCTTTCAAATGGGGTCATAGCTATGGGTCCAACCCTGTTCTCTGCGTGCACATGGCATGTATTACACTGGAGGATGAGAAGCGCTAGCTCCTAGTTAGTAATAAATTATGGTGGTCCACCATCACTATACATAGCCCAGTGGCTCAAGTTGCTACATGATAGGAGTAAAGCCATGAGTTCGATCCACTGCGAGCCGGCAGATGGGGAAGAGGTGGTTTGGCGCCTTCTCGGAAGTGCTTTGGGCATAGTACCGGGATTCAAAGTTAGTGAGAGGGGGTGGAATGAAAATGAAAAATATTGAAGCTTGTAGGCCAAGAAAGTAGCACATTTGTTGATCCGAGGTCTTTTGGTCCAAAATGGAAAGGGGAATGTCAAAGGGCCAGCATTTTCACACCAGGATGAATAAGTCGTTTTCCATAATCTTTACGCTGACGAATCCGTTGTTTGGTGTTGGATGACATTGCAGGCTTCGACGGGATCCATTGCTGTTATTACATCATTAAGCACCTAGCTGTGTGATATATCTTATTGTTTATGAAAGTGGGATACAGGTTTCTTCCCCTGCCAGGGCGATGTTAGTGTGAGTTGGAAATATTCTGAACACTAGTGGTGTAGCGCAACCCACTTTAAATTTCTGATCATCTCTACTCTATATGTATTCGTTCACTAGGCATGGTTTTCCGGTGGCGTTGCTTGGTTTTTTCCACATTTACTGCATCTTTTGTAGCGCTCCACAGCTCAAAAATTTAGGGTTAATCTTAAAGGTGGCCACACCGCTGTGTTCTTCCCATAACAATGTGCAAAAAATTTTATTTTCTATAACAGACATGCCAATGTCTTTACCTTATATAATAGACTCCAATGATTGTAGAAATGTATTCCGACGTTACCTAGCACATCAGGTTACATCGTTATGTCAATGATTATTTTCAGTAATGTCAAGGCTACGTCGAATGAATAATATCTAAAGGTACTGAATCACATGATATACATAATGCATCTATGTGACAAATATGTTTAAAACATCACTGCAACACTCGCCGCTAACTACTGACTGCAGTCTGGCACTGGGAAATGATGACTTCGCCGAGATGGTCGCTTGTACGTTCCAGCGCCGTCAAGCAACAGAAACCAGCAAAAGTCATCTATCATGGAAGGCGTGTGCTTGTTACTGTAGCGCTGCTCCTTGACTGAAATGTCTTACTCAAAGAGCTCACCATGCTCATCGCTGACAGATCCCCAGTTCTCAGGGAAATATTCAAGGTGCTTCAGCAAAAGTGCATCTTGAGTAACATTCGAACACCCACAGCCCATTATTCCGCAATGTGCTTTTAGTGATGTCTTTGTGGTTCTCTGCTTTGATTCTGCCCAAAATTCCTATACACACGGCCATGAATGATCTACACGCTTCTAACTCAGACGAAGTAGACTTTCATTCGAAAGTACTGTCTGCCATTATCGGGCGAATATCAGGCCCAATAAGTATCCCTTCTTCAAGCTTCGCATCCCTGATATTCGGAAACAATTATTTCAGGTCTTGAAACGCAAAACCATCTCGCTTGAGCACCTTAACGAAGTTTTTAATCAAACCAAGTTTGCTGTGCAGTGGTGGTAGATAGATATGAGCAAGTTGCACAAGTGGTGTATGCTTTACATTCACTTTCCCTGCAGCAAACTCCGCCCTCTCTGGCCACTTTTCGGTTGCGTACTGCTGTTGAGTTGCTTTACTTTCCCATAAGCCCAAGAAAAAGTAATATTTGTGAAGCCTCCCTGCGTACCCAATAGGAATCCAATGGATTTGAAGTCAGCACAGATATTCCAACGGTATTATCGTAGTTCAGTGCCGTGAGTATCTGTTGCATAACCTCGTAAATCTTCGACATATTGGTGGCATGCAACAGAGGCACAGTTGAGTACGCATTTCCATGCTAGCGCAGTATGGTCTTAAGACTACTCTTGGATGAGTCAATGAACAAACGCTATTCGTCACTGATATGCCTCACGGCAAACTCCTTCCTTAGTCTTTCCATGTCAGAACAATAACAAAAGATTCCTCTCATGTCACAGAAACGGGACAATTTAACACTTCGCTTTCTGTATACAGTAACCTTCGTGTATGCGGCAAGTAAGTGCCACTGCTGCAGCCAAGATACCAGCAACTCGGCCTTGTCTTTAGGCAAGCCCAAGTCATATAGAAAGTCATTCAGCTCTGACTGTTCACTAAGATGTGGGTTGACAAGATCAGCTTCGAAATTTTTACAGATTTCAGAATCAGGGGAAGTTGACGATGCGGAATCATTCCTCATCATCAGTGATACGTTCACTGGAGGCACTGAAATGGGTAAGGTGTAATCATGAGGAACAAGTCGAATAGCTGATGGAAAATCGAGGTAATGAATTCTGTCCTTGTTTCTGTTGGGGATTCCAATGACACTGGTTAGGTAGAAGTAGCAGTCTATAATATGCTTCTTCGACTCCCTTCACATCATGGGGATTGCAAAGAGCATCTTGCCTTTGCCCTTGAGCCACTGAGTCAGATGAAGATTGCACGACGGAAAAACACTATGAGGTGCCCACTTCTTATTCTGATCTTCCAGTTTCATCTTGAAATATACGTGGTAGAGACTCCAGTAGTGAAGAAATGGGTCTGCATTGCTACTTCGTAGTAACAAAAACGATTTCGGTCATTGATATAGCATGGTCCTATAGCCATGCTTAAGGAAACACAGCTCTCAATCGACTTTCAGTATTAGGTGGATACAATGGCCAAGAGGACTTCTTTTTCACCATTACACGGAGCCAATAAACCAGCCATAGGCGAGTCTTCCATTCATGGAACGTACTGCTTAGCTGAGATGAAAAAGTGAAGTGAACACACCCGACGTGATAGAAACATTTGGTTTACATATTCGTAATTAGCTCACGCTACTACTACTACTACTACTACTACTACTACTACTACTATTACTACTGCTACTACTACTACTACTACTACTGGAAACATCCTATAACATTACTGTTATAAACATGATGTTGCGCAGTGTACTTAGCAAGTATACAAAAGTAACAAAGCCAACGTGTGGTTTGGTGTTGTGGATATCTACACATTCCAATGTATAGAATGTATTTGTGGGTTTTTAAATGTTACAACCCGAATAAGACCCATCAAGGGGTGCCTAAGTTTGGATATGTTGCATTCAAGCTGGATTCTCATCTGTTACTTTGTCGATCTCCAGTACTATAAGTTGCACCAAGGGACAAATGTCATCAAAGATCATTGTATTTGGAATACGAAAGCCTTAGTGGCGCATTTTGTAAAGCCGTATGGTTACATTCCCATATTGGAGGATCACACTGTCAACAAGCAAAAGAAGTGCAATCTTTTCGGGTGGGCAAAACCCAGGTTCCATTTGCTTCATCAGTTATGATCCTAGTGATCGAATTGAGCAAAATTCACCTCATTGTGACCTGCGGTCCACATTGAGATTGCGCGTCGCAATCCAATCACACAACGAGGAATTCAAAATGATTCTCCAATCAGGAGATAGATTCCTTATATGTCTCATGATCATGTCAAGTTATCACTGAAGAGGTAACCTTATTGACTGCACGCGTGGTTGATTGAGCTAGTATTCTCAGTGCTTATTCTGATGTATTGAGATTAACGGAGGCGCAGTCATGGTCAGTCCGAACGACCTCTTCAGTTAATCGCCCACAAACAGCCAATTGTGACGGTGTACCAGGCGAAGATAGTTCAGTCTACAAATAAATACCCTGCCTTCTACACGGCAGTAACGTGTACGTCAGTGGATAGTGAGCGGCGCTATATCACCTCTAGTAACTTATTCAAGATGGTCGTTGCCGTCCCCCGTAGCTCAGTGGTCTCAACCACGGATTGGCAACAGTCGAGTTGCGGGTTCGGGCCCTACCAGGTTCCGATGGAATGCGCACTGCTGACGATTCGCGAAAGGATGAAACGCGCGTACAGTGCTTTTCCTAGCGTGTGACGGCTGTCTGAGTGAGTCTAGATGTGACGAATTTCCACTTATACCAAGCAACTCCCCCTGCTACTCTTCTGTAGATAAATACAAGTTACTTGGCAGCCAAAGTATTTGTCAAGACGGCTCAGTGCTGCACTGAGATGGGGCAAATACAGTAACAAGTACAGCTACGATTTAAGTTTCGGCGTTCGATGTGGCCGTGTCGAAATTACTCAGTCCATCAGTGTCATTGGGTGTCAGAATTTTCCACCGAGTTTCAAGTCCTTCCAGTGGGACCCGGCGAAGTATTTCCATTGCATGAAACGTTTACCCCTGACAGACGGATATATTGCGGACTGGGCCCCGTGAGTAACGCGCTTTTTCACGGATGTAGCGTCGAATGGCACCAATGACGATACGAACTGTCCATTGGATAGCGGTAGTAAAAGTACTGTACGTTATGTAGGTGGAATTGTTGAACGTCACCAATCAGAGTATATGTGTAGCATCAGTAAACATGCAACACAGAAGTCTGCTGCGTAAAATCAATCATAATGTCTAAGAGATGCCATGTTAACACCTAAACTAAATACACGCAGCACATATGTGTACGCGATATTTTCTCCTTAATTTTTACAGCGAATCCATGGAAAGCTTGTTGGCGCAACAGGCTGCCGTTGCCACGACGCTGGGTGGACTGCCTCCAAGCTACATGCAAAACGTTGATAACCAGACCAGCCCCTCGCCAGCATCACATAACATTTTCCAAGGGAATGGGGCAGTGGACAGCTCAGTGACAGCTACCGTAGAACCAAATCGAACGGTTTCTTCACGAACAGAAAGAACAGAGTTCATCAAACGCACAATAAAACCAATCAGAGCTCCACCACAAACACAGCAACATGGATTCATCTTTCCAAGCGCTATTTTACCTGCGCCATTTTTGGATTTTCCGATGAACGCTACCAAATTATCGCCATATTGGCTCACCATGGAGCGCGGTAAGTTAGACGCCCATAACACGTGTTCAAACAATGATCCAAATCTGCTATCGCGAACTCAAGGAGTGCACAGTATGAGCCATGGCGGCATCGATTACACCACTACAAACGGCCCATTTCAGAAGTCGGTACCAAATTTGGAGGATGTGACACAGTATTACCACCACTCCGGCGTAACCTTGGATCAGTTGAGAGAGTGGAAGAAACTCAATCTGCATCAAGCTGAAGCGTGGAAGAACTGGTATCTTTGGCATCTTTTAGCACACTTAATGCCCTGTAAACCTCCCGAGTGGGTCGATCCCAAGGTGGAAGTTGACCGTTCACCAAGCCACCGGCTTTCTCCGGTGAGTTCCACGTGTCGTTTTCCGATGCAATCAGTACCTCCGTGTTTTAATCAGCCACTGAACAACTCAATCAATCCAACTTTGCTTAATCAACTTTCAAGTTGGATGAAATCTTCTGACAAATACCACTGTAATCCTCCAAAGGATGACGGTGCACCCAACAACGGCCAAGGCGATGCCCACGCGACCGAACTCCTCGAAGACTGTGGACTTAATGCCGGCTACATGAATCCGGACAGGATTTTTCACTCACGTATGACTTCTACCACCTCATCGTGGCCAGCCACTTCTCCCAGTTTGTTGGATTCTGGACAGCCAAAAGGCGGTCCAGTTGCCTTTCAACCCAGTTCACTTCCAAACTGCAGGCAGATGAACAAAATTTTCGAATTGCTGTTGAAGCCAAAGTGTTCAGATACAGTTGAATCTGAACGATCGCCCTGCTACACTGCTGATGCTCACAGTCAATGTGTTGTGCCACGATCAGAGCCAAGTTCAGCTTCTTCAAGGTCCTCGTCATCTTCACTTATCTCTCCTGCCGAAGCCTTAAATTTGGCCAGTCCACTTAATTCGGTGTATCACGAACTCAGTGAGACATGCTCAGTTCACAAACACACAGAATCCACCAGACACATTGGTACATCCCAGTGAAATATATCCCCACTGATCTATTCTGACAACGCACATCATCCTGTGCTGTGGAGTTACGATCCGCTGGAGCAGTGTATGTAAACCCCCTCTGAGGTAAACTCACTAAATATGGTGTGCTCTTACGGCATTTACGACTCAGACTCTATCTGTATATTGATTTCGCAGAGTTCACCATGCAATTCGTTTCATAAAAATTCAGCTACACTTTTCCGTCCACCTGGACCATGTAAATTGTGATGGATCAAGCTAACTTTTGAAATTTGGTTGCTAGTTGCTCTATTCACTTCCATTTCGACAGTTTTTACCGAAGAAATCTAGTTGAAGCAAGTACCGCGGCCACATCTCCGCGGCCAAGTCGACTAACAAGGCTATTTGAGTGAACACTAGGCCGTACTCAGCGTATCGGCCGAGGTAAGTAGTATCAATGGATGTGGTCATTGCCTCGAAACTAGAAATTCATGTGGCACATTGGTTTTTATGGGCTATACAATGCATGGTTTCAAGCTGAGTGGCTGTTTCCATGCACTTTTACAGCCACCTACAGCAATACCACCGAATATTGACTACTCAAAGAAATAGGTCAAAGTGATCAAAATACGGAGGTTGTCAACATTCAAGGGATTGGATCCATAAGGTTTACGTGGTTAGCATACAGGAAATTACCAATATTCCGCTCAACTTAGATAGTTGTTCAGCGTATAGATAGAGGATGTCAACTTAGGAGATTTTGCTGTATTTACAAACAGACATTGTCTAGAGGTCAAGCTAACTCAGCCCTAACATTCGAGGTGACTGAATAGAGCCTACACTACACACTATACACGTTAGCTAGAGGTGGGAAACACCTCAGCTACTGTGCCACAATACCTAGAAGAAATAAGGGGATAAAATGCAACAGGTGCATGACAGCTGAGCTACCAGTAACCGATGGGCATTGTTCCGGCAGGCTACCTGCAGGCTACTATGCAGCAGAAAAAATAATAATTTACTATGCAAAATTATAAAAGGATAAATAATGAAGTCGCGGTTGGAGACGAAGGCTAAAAGGGATGGGGTGGGACAAAGAACCTCATAGCATGAACGACACTGAGGTCGGCTCCCAACCATATCAACAAGTGTATCCAGCCAAACGTGTTCATCACTTTTCGGACCCCAACCAGGGAGCCGAGACGCTGCAGCTGAGGCCAGGTTCGAAAAGAGGGCGTTCATTCCTCTCGACCAAGTCATCGCTTGGCCACCCCTCCTCTTCTTCCATCCACACCCCCGGCGCGCCAATAATGCACGTCGCGGGAGTCGGTGGGCTGACATGCGTAACAGGTGGCCAAGCCAGCGGAGCCTGGTGCTTGAAATAACGGTGCTGAGCGGTTCAGTTCCTTTTCCTGTGCCGTAAACAAGGCGTCGAACACGCTCGTTGCTCACGCGGTGTTCCCACCAGATGTGAGCTAAATTGCGAATGCACCGGTAGTCGAACGTAACTAGCCTCTTCAGGTCCGCTGCTTTAAGCGGCCAGGTTTCATAACCGTACAGAAGGGTCGAACGTACCGTTGCATTGTACACTACCCTTCAGGGCAAGAGTGATGTCGCGCCGGCGCCATAAGTGGCGAAGGTTAGCAAAAGCGCCCCGAGCTTTTGCTATACGATTCGTAATCTCATCTTCAATCCCACAGGCGCTGATACAACTTCCCAGGTAGTTGAATTTTTGAACGACTTCTAGCTGATCCCCACCAAGGGTCAACGTAGGAGGCGGTCCAGACCAATCTTGGAGGAACACTTTGCACTTCGAGGGTGCGAAGCAAAGCCCGAAGTGACGGACGGCTAGTGCTAATCTGTCCAGTGCCGCTTGGTACATCTGTGAGCTGTCACAGATTAGGGCAATATCATCAGCATACTCTAAGTCAAGAAGCCGTTCTCCTGGGAGTAGCTCCACACCTTCTAAGTCGTGTCCTGTGGACGCGATTTCCATGACTTCATCAATAGCGAAGTTGAAGAGGAAAGGTGACAGCGGGCATCCATGTCTCACGCCGCTGGAGATATTAAAGGGCGACGACAACTTGACGTAAGCCCTCACTCTGCCCGAGCTACGCGTATCTAATGCTCGGATAATATTCACATATTTCTCAGGGACACCTTTCCTGAGTAGACAGTCCCAAAGTGCATGTCTATCCACCGACTCGAATGCACCTTTGATATCGAGGAACACGACAATGGTGGGCCGCCAATATATGTGACGGTGCTCCAACAACTGACGCAAAGTGGAGATGTGGTCAATGCAGCCACGACCTCGACGAAATCCAGCTTGCTCTTCACGAATCTGGCTTTCACGAGTGCCAGTCAGTCTGTGAAGGATGACAGAGGCAAGCAATTTGGAGGCGATGGATATCAGACTGATTCCTCTATGGCTGCCGCATTCCGATCGTGAGCCTCCCTTGAAAATTGGGACTATGACGGAGCGGCTCCAATCGGTTATAACAGTTTTCTGCTCCCATAGTTTCACTAACAACTCGTATTAATCATCCACAAGAGCAGGTCACCCGAAATTAAAGAGGGCTGGAGGTAGATTCTCTGGTCCCGCGGCTTTATTTAACCAACAATGCGATCTCACGTTCGACTTCTGAGCGAGAGGGTGGAGCCAAAGGGACAGCCCAGGGAGCGGGGCGATCAGTGACCGGCGAATCGAACAATTCTTGCCGATTAACTTGCTTTTCAAAATGCTCAGCCCAACGCTCCAGACGTTTTGACAAATTGTGGATAGGCTGTCCACTCTCGTCACGTTTAGTTTCACTAACATCAAGTCTTCTGCTGCCCGTTTCACGTAGCAGTCGGAATAACTTACGATGGTTACCAAGGGCAGCGGCCATTTCCATCTCTGATGCACTATGAGACCGCCAGGATACGTGGTCTCTGTTCAGGCTAGCACGGAGTACTGCCCGGAGCTCTTTGCGAGTTTCATTGTGTTCGCTTCCAGCCGGAATATGCCGGCGAGCATCGATAAGTTCCAGAGACTGCGAAGAGACCCAATGTCCATGTTGGCGATTAGACTTTCCACATGAGAATTCGCTTGCTGCTAGTGAGCTCTGGTGAATATGAGACCAGTGAGCTTCAAGTGCATCCAGTAAGCGCTTACTCAACTCGCATGAATGCGTACTCTGATAGGTATTCAGAACAGCTGATTTTGCAGTTGGCTGGTGTCGATGCGCTCACAACGTCGTCTTGGGCGTCCGCTAAAACGCATCTGCAGGTCAGCACATATAAGTGCATGGCAGGTGTCCACACCTGTGCTCCAAATCGAGCGACAGTTCTGAACGCAGCCTATCCATCGGCAACTTATCGCACTGTGATCGATTTGCGTCCATTGCTGATTTGAAGCTGGTGGGCGCCAAGTCACACTCCAGCGAGTGCTGTGTCGGTGATTGGTGCTCGCAAGAAATAAGAGAGCATCTTCACACAAATGAAGTATCGGCTCACCGTTATCATTGCGGGAGCCTACACCATGTTGGCTGCCCAGATGCAGTTCATCAGTGGATAATTTTCCAACTTGAGCGTTCATATCCCCAGCCAGCACTACAGTGTCCGAGCTTCTTCTGTGGCGAAGGAGCTCATTCAGTTGACCATAGAAGCCGTCTTTTACCGAATAATCTCTAGAATTTGTGGGTGCATAGGCAGCGATAACGAATAGACACCTGTTAGTCCCACGCGACTTCGAAACTTGGAACGAGCCAGCCAATATGACCGTACACATCCGGCTACTAATTGGAATCCAATCAACTAGAGTAGCTTCATCCAGAGAACTCAGGGCAACATCAACACCGGCTTGGCCGGTATTCGAAGCTACGTGGTCACGGGATAGGCTCAATGAGAAATTGCTGCTAGTATCACCTGAAGGGGATCGCAGAGTGAGCACAGAGCCCGAATCTTACAGGCTGGTCTCCGATAAGCAGCAGATATCGATTGAGAGGGTCTCTAATGTTCGGGCAAGTGCTGCCTGCTGACCGATTTGTAGCAATGTGCGTACATTGAGGCATGCCAATCTGAAGGAGGATCGAGGGCTCCAAATGGAATTCGATGAACTGGGCTTGGTTGCTTGGTTGGATATGGGCTTGTCGAAGGGACAGGAATGACGCTCCGCGTTCACATGTGAGTTGAAACTGGAAGTTAACAGCCTAGCAAATCAAGGTCGGGGAGGGCCAATAAGCGGGGGATTGAAGACAGGAGGGATTAAAGTGAAGCTGAAAGGGGACGGTAAGAGAGAAAAAGCGTAAGCGGGGGAATAAGAAGCTGGGAAGGCTTGAGCAGTGGCATCCAAACCCCTATCCACCCTGCTCGATGCAGCAGATAGGCACAGTTGATTATCCTCTGCGGTGGCCAGAGCATCAAGAAACTTGGAAGAGAAACGGGAGCCTGGTTTTGTTTGAATAAAGTAGAAGATCGGTTTGCTTTTCAACTTTCACTAGTACAAAGAATTGTGTCAAAGGTAATACAGTTTGTTTTCAGTGACGATTGTCTCGTTCGGAGCGCTTGGTTTTCGTCTGTGGTCGACGCTACCGAAGATAGAGCGAATTGAACTAATGAGACTCTTGATACCCTAAAAGATCGATCAAAAGAAAGTGATGAAGAGTAAGGAATTAGCGAATAGTGGCTGTATAAAATAGCTTTTGTGAATTAGGCACAACATATCCACATGTGGAAGTCACGCATTTAAGGGAAATGCCGTGAACTAAGGCGATTTGCACTTGTTTGATGATTTCAGCACGCAAGCCAAACTACCTTCTACTTATGAGAAATCTGCTCCCGAACTGAAAACACTTATAATGTGCTCGTGGATATGCGTCTGCTGCGCCGCCAGTAGACGAAGTGAAATGCATGATCTGTTCACACGGCTGCTGCAATCTCTGGTCGTTTTGTTTACATACTGAGTCTACGGCCAACTACCACCACTGACTGAAATTGATGCTTAACTGAGTAGCTGCAAGCAACGTGAAGAGGGTACCTGGTGAACGTAC